GCTGGCACTTACATTTTTAAGGCTGTTTAGTGAGTTGGATTCACAAAACGATTTAGCTGAAAAAGAATACTTTAGGGTTTGGGGTTTTTTTGCATGTTAAGTTTTCAGCTAGGTCAACTGATCTGTCTGACGCACACAAATAGCAGTAGCAATAATACAAGTCCACAGCTATTACTTTGAAACTGGCCAGAGCAGATTGAGATGATCTCTTTAGCCAGCAGCTTATGGCACCTATGTAATTAAATTAGATGGCTGGCACAGAATAACATGCATGTTGAGTCCAAAAAAGCCTCGTAGAAAGAAAATTTCATCAAATGGCCTCAAAGTCATAAGACATAAAAAGTCCATAACAGAGGCAAGGAGAGAATCTGTATTTCCTGGGCAGCAGTCAAATTACCTTTACACTTAAATTTTCTTTCTATTGTTCCTGCTTCATTCACCAATACATATTCCAAATTCTGCAAAATATGAGGTTGAGGTCCTACAGAAAACAATCTAATTCACCACATTACTACAGGGTTTTCTCTGTACAGTGAATGAAGCTGAAATCCCTTGGCGAAAAAGCAATATACAGTACTTAATAATATTTTAACACATATAGACAAAGAGGGCAAATTAAACAATTGAATTTGAAACCAGAAAGATTATTTACATGTAGGTTTCTGTATTTGACTACTGAGAACGTAAAAAGGCAAACTCAAACTCCAGAAATTTTATCATGTCGAACAACAGCGGAGTCAAGTGGCAGGGTAAGAACACTTAGGGCATCTTACCATCTCAGTTATCGAAATTGATTTTTAAATAACTCATCATTTTCAAAAATCTTTTGCAGCCTGTTACAGAAAATACATAAACATGCAGCTTAGAACCATAAAAGCAGCCCAAGTCCATTAAAATTGATAGACTTTCAATTGACCATAGATCAGGTCCCATGCATTTAAGGCAGCGTTTTCAAAACACTGCACAAATGCACACTTCCTGGGTTGGGTTTGGTTTTTTTTGTTTTTTTTTTTAATTACTTCAACAAGCAAGTATTTCAAAGAAAGATATATTGGGTATACTAATACTACAGAAAACTAGATTAATTTGCCTCAATGACTTCTGTGATTACAAGGAACAAATCTGAAGTCACAGAAAGAAAACAAGGCCTGCCTGCCTTTTTAAATTGGTATTCTGCTATGTATAATCATTCTATTGCTGTCATGTTCTTCATACTGTTGTGGTATCAAGCAATCCCATGAATACTTTTAGGGAAAAACCAGCAACTTACAGTGACTTAGCATCTCGTGAATTGGCAAAATGGTTAATGTTTAACAGTGATGTATAGACCAACTGTTCTTGTTTTTATTTCTTTGTTTAATACATACTGAAGATATCATGGTTTGTTTCACAATGCAATCACTTTCAGAAAGTACCTTAAAACCTATGGATATAAATTAGATCATAAATAGAGGGTTCTTCCTGTTTATGAGGTAACAACTGTATCCTGTGGAGGTGTTTATTAGACCTGTTACAGATACAGTTGCTACCAAGTTAAGTGGAAGCATGCTTGAGTTTTTCGTATAATTCAAAAATGTCACATAAGAAGAGCTGAATTTCACAACCAAAAAATCAAACAAAATATATCAGAAGGCTGAAAATACTTGTAGAAATGAACACCAAACTCAATGAAGTGGGAATATTGCAAGCATTAGAAAACTGTAGCAAACACTCCAATCAGTTGCAAATGAGATTCTAGTCATACTGTAGTTCCCAACACTATCATCTACAATCAATACATTGGATAATATATATGACTGCTAGCAGTCTTTGCATTAATTTTGTTACAGAAAGCAACATGGACCAGAGACTGTGTCTATCAAGAAATAGGGTGGTAAAGTAAACAGATAGCTGTAAGTTCATAAAAATCAAATCAAAATTTGCACCTTGTGCCTAAATTGATTCCTCATAATATCATACTATAATTAAATATTCTCAAAACACAGTGGTTTTAAGCTCTGTGGAGAATAATGAATGGCATTTTAATTCTGAACCTGGCTGTAAATCGCACTATACAATCATCTTCTTAAAGTGATGGGAGACATCTACTAATATCGCAGTTAAACTAGCAACTAACACAAAATAAACAGACCAAGGGTCCATTACCTACTGTTCTACACCACAGTGGCCAAAGGTACCTGCAGGGAATGACTGTCATTACTGGAAGTTCTCTGACAGGTGTTTTGCTCTCTCTCCCTGTCTTTATCTTCCCCCTATAGCTTATGTGTCCTCTTCCTTTTCCCCTCTCATTTGTCATTCCTAGTCGTTTGGTTTTCCCATTGCTTCGTTTCTTTAGTCCTCTGTCCTTCTTGGAAAGAAACTTAGTTTATACAATAGATGGGACTGGAACCCAATCGCAAAGCAAAAATCAGGAGCAGCTGGATACCAAGGAAACAATTTAAGAACAAAGCAACACAGTTGCTTACTGAAAACGTTCCCTCAGCATCCAACCATTTGCAGCTCTGAGACTCCCTGAGCCAAAGGTAAATTTAAGGTTTTCATGCATTTTTTTCTTTTGTATTTCATCCAGTTGCTTACTGAATTCATGCAAACTTCCACCATCTACATCTTAAAACATAGAGGTCCAGAGCTAAATTACACATGGTCTGACATTTGTGTTATATAGTAAAACTCCAGATGCTTGTATAGTTTTACTATCTCAGTTTGATTGCTGGGAAAAAAGTACACAATGAACTCTTTCTGCAAGGAACATCCTTCTTTTTTCTCATTGGATTTTTTTATTCTTTGGAATAGTTCTGTAGTAACTAGTTTAGGCAAAGAGTGGCTTATACTTTGCATATTTTTCATTTCACCATGCAAAACGCTTCTTTGTGATGAAAGGCAACAGTTCCTTATGACAGCATATTAGCTCCTCTTGGTTTCTGCTAGAAGGCTATTTCCTTTTTTTTTTTTTTTTTAAATAATTTTGAAATCTACCAAACCTTGTTCCAGTACAAGAGTCTACAAAATGTATCCTACATATACATATTACGTACACGAGATGTTGTATCTCGGTCCATAGACTGGTAACTTCATACTGCAGTTCTAACCTCTTTCACTTCTGTGCATTGTAGCCTGAAGTGTCATTTGCTTTATAGAAAAAAAATAATCTAGAACATGTATTACTGAACAAGGGAAATGAACAGAGACAGACGTTACAGAAAGTAACATTATGGTTTTTAAAAACAGTTTCACTTTAAATTATTCCTCAATAAAGACAGCAAGGTGCTGTTTCTTTGTTGTTGTTTTGTGTTGTTCTGTTTTTTTTATAAGAAGCACTACTGATCTGAAGCACTACTACTGAGCAGCAGTACTGGTAGCGAAGGACCATTTAATTTTCTTTTTTTTTTTTAAATCTGTTTCAAAAGAAAAAGTCATAATTCTCATCTTTCGGAAAACTGAGGAAAATGACCCCTTTTGTGGCCCAAAAAATTATATCCTTATGGGCCTTCAAAGTGGATATCAGACCAAAAGGAACACTCCTTTCCTTCCCAAACACACATATGTCCTAGTATTAAGGATACTTCTTGATAGACCTAAGGAAAATAAAGTATCTTTACATTAAATAATACTCTCCTTCAAAAGAATGCTCTTTTTTCAATTTCACATATTATTTTTTGATCTCTCAGTAAATAACAGAATCTGTGATTTGGCTTAGTATTTTCTTTTATTGTGAGGTAATTAATGAGTTTCAAACATTTATATTTAGGCCGCAGTACCAGCAGTAGTTTTTCCCAGGAAGGCTCCTGGTTCCAAACAGAACTCACTAAAATCCACATAGGATCAGGTGACAGAGAGTTCATTGGGCATTTTCAATTAGAAACCAGTCTCACAAAGAAATGGCTGACCCTGCTGACATACCCATGCTATTAGTTTTTCCTTGAAGTTCCAGATCTTGTACTCTTGCAAGAAACTTTGTCAAGTTTCTGGCTAAGATGCAGAAAAACACTTAAAATGTGATCCTAAAGCTTTCAAGAGAGAAAGCAAGTGAACAGAGCCTAAAATTTTCAAAATAAAAAATTAAGTTCCTGAGATTTATTTAAAGCTAGTTTCATGGATTAAGTCCCTGAAACCTCAAGGTTAGGACTCCAGTAGCCTCTATATAGTGCACAAATGTGATTAAAGTGAAATGAAAGGGAATACTTTTATTTCTCAGTCAAATGCATGGTTAATTCTCTTCACAACCTCTGTTTTTACATGTTGTTTATGAAATGGCATCTTCCAAGATCTTTAAATTTTCCAAATTATTCAGTAAGTTATTAGAAATGCCCAGCATGGAGACTAAGGCTTCCAACATACTGGCATTTAAATGGTATTTAATAATATGATTTGCTTACAACGTAAGACCTAACAAACACTGAAGTAAATCCGAGCACAAACTTGGATGGTTTTCCTCTACAATCTAGTGGGAGCCATTCCTGCAGGCAGCGTGGGGCTGCAGGCCGGCACCACTCGGGCCCTGTCAGGGGCTGCAGCCCCAGCCCTCCTACTGGCAGCATGTTTTCTTCTTTAAACCGAAAGAAACTGTCATTTCAAAGCGACTTTTGGAAAGGGCCTTGAAAATTACACTTTAAGGCCATAATACAGCGGGGGTCACACAGTGGACAGCCCCCACCACACAGGGCAAAAGCCCGACACACGCAGGCCGCCCACCCTCTCGCCCTACGCCGGTCTCCTCAGCACGGGGGCACCAGGGCCGGCGGCCTCCTCCTTCCGCCCTCCCCGACGTGAAAGCAGAAGGGCACGAAAGCGGGCACCTCCCCAGCCACGAGGGGACCGGCGTCCCCCTCCACCCCCGGGCCGAGGTAAGAGTCCGCCTCCGTGCGAAACCCGCGGGTTACTGGGGCGACGATGCTCCCCAGGCAAGCGCCATTTCCCCGTGCGGCTCAGCAGCCGTGCACCGCGCTCCCCGCTCCCGCCTGCGCGGCTGCGCAGAGCTGAGCGCCGCGGGATGGCGGCTCTCCCCGCCCCGGCCGGGCCGCGGGGCGGAGCTGCGGGGAAGTAGCGGCCGCGGCCGCCCCTGTCTGCCTCCGTAGCGGCCTTGCAGCAAAGGGCGCCCCGCGGTTGCCGCGACACGCACCCCCCGCCCCTGGCCTTCTGCTTCTCGCCGGGGCCCGGAGCAGCAGCCCCGCTGCCTTCCCTCCTCCCGCCGCCGCGTAGGCCTGGCGCCACGGGGTGAGGCGGTGCGAGGCATGAAGCTGAGCAAAGCCCAGTACGATGAAATAGCCCAGTTCCTGGGGCACGTGCAGCCCACCCGGCAGAGCCTGAGGAAGCTGAAGGAGAAGTTCCCTAGGTAAGTGCTTCCTGCCCGCCGCGGGGCCGGCGGCTCGGGCGGCGGCCGCACAGCTCGCTGCGGGCGGGCGGGGGGCCGCTGGGGGGCCCTCCGCCGGCTCCAGCCGGTGCCCCCCCCGGTTCCAGGCCCCACACGGTACAAAAATCACTTGGACACGCACACGGTCATCGACGGTCACCCTTCTGCTGGGAGAAGGGTGCCGCTTGCTCTCTGTGACCCGAGAAGTTGGCACAACATAAAGAGCGTGTCTTCCCCCCACACATTCAAATAAAAGCTTTCAGATCCCTTCATGAGGCTCTTAAACACCAAGTAGATCTTCTTACCTGAATGAAGCCATGGGGCTCAGGCTGTTCCTTGGTGGTCGAGACCAAGGATGGAATCCGACCTATGGTCCCCCAGCCCTGGTGCCTGGGGGAGATGGGGCTTTCGGAGCCAATAACTCTTTACTTGATATTGCTCTCCAGTTAAAGGTTGGAACTTATATCTTAGTATTCCTTCCTTGCCTGAGCTGTATTCAGAATTGTCAAAGACATTTGCAAAGGACCATAGGCTAGCATGGAAGGGTGTACATGACAGGATGTGCTTCATGCGCTGATCTTTGTTGCCAGAATTTGCTTACTACCACCAACAAGAGTTGTAAGGGACATCTTGCAAGGTTTTTCTCTTTTTTTCAGGTTTCAGGGAAGGATTATTAGTGCTGGATTGGACGGGAAAGGAGAGGTGCTGTCTCTAAAATGCACCAGACAACTGCAGGGTTTTAAGTGCTGTATGTAATTTGGTGAGAGAAATAAGTAAAACAGAAAATCGTTCCCATGCTTCCTGAGAAAGCATTGCTAGTCTTACCACAAGCACGGTTGAGAAAACTGTCTGAAGCTGTGTGTAACTTACAGTAAGTAGATGAAGAGCCAACATTAATTTAGCCTTTTAAACTGTCTAGTGAAATCTTTTCCTTTTCAGAAAAGTGCATAATGTAGTTAAAAATCAAACTGAGGGCATAGCCCTGTTGCAGAGAAGCAATGTGGTTGGTTCAGTGAGTGCGCTGAGTTGGGTTGTAGGAAGCCAAGTTCACCTTGCATGGTACTTCTGCAACTTGGGAGACCACTTACTGCGACAGCATATGTCTTAAGGAGCTTAGACTTGGCTTTATCACTTTGGTGCTAATGAAATTAGAAGAGAGTGCTAGTGTGTGTATATGCGTGCATGCACACACACATGGACACGTTCTCTTTTTTTGTATCCTTATAAAGCTATCCTGAAAGAAGGGTAGAATTTGGGTCAGTTTGCTTGGTCAATCACTGTGTGTAGGAACCCGCTTCCGAGACAGATCCACAGGCACATGAGCGTCTGCAACAGGGAAAATAAGTTCTGTCAGAAAACTACCAGGCCTTTCTGCTGGTACATTTTAGTTTCCAGTCCACTTCTTTGGTGCTGCAAAAGATCCATTGACTCCTCAGTTTTGGAACTTGATGACTCCTGAAAAACTATGTACTAGTTACAATGTAGAGTTATCTCAGGAAAAAAAGTACATTTTTTCTAAAGTAGCTGGCTTGGGTGTGGCTAATGCTGAACAGCAGAGTTGAGCGATAGTAGTTGCTTCCATGATTTGCTGGTTTAACGTATTGTCTTGTTATCCACATTATGAGATGAGAATGTCCTCTTCTGAATTCCACTTGTAGGCCTCTCCTGAATTTCTTTTGTTGATTCTGGGAGTAGGCTAAAATTTTCTATTTGAATGATGAATGAATTGATACTTTTTTATTTTAAATGTCTTCCTGAAGTATATTTTGAAGAGGTCTGCAGGTCTCCTTTCTGTGAATGGCTCAGCAAGCAATGTTTGTCGTCTTTTTGTTTATTTCTCATAACAGAGCAGATGCAGAAGACCCTCAGAGAAAAAGTTTTAAGTAGCAAACGTGTTGGGCTAATGATTTTGAGATGCAGCTAAATAAAAAGCAACACTGCATTCCAAGGCCACTGCTTGCCTTAGCAGCAAGGGAGATGCATTGAAATAGATACAAGATATAATGTGAAAAGAAGGCAATCTCTGTAACTGTTACCTTGTAAAAGAGGCCAGCTGCAGAGATTTGTAAATTTCTGTGCCATCTTAAGTGCTAAAGGGGAGGCCTTTTCAGTGTTGTGTTTTGTAACTGTGGAGTAAGTTTTTTATAATCTAGAACGTGTGTCATTATCTTTTAGGATGAGAACGGTCTGATTGGACTTCTTGGATGCTTTTTTTCTTTATGAAAAATAAAATCAAGCAAACAAATCCCCTCACCCCAATTTTCTAATTCAGTCTTTTTAAGAGAGTATTTCAGAAACTGTAATGGCACTTGCAATGTGATAAAGGTGTCCGTAACCATTTTGTCATTATTATGACAAACAATTGCAACAGTTGCTAATTCAATCTGGAAAGTACTAACATCCATAACAGCTGCTCTCACCTTGCACTTTTAGCCTTTCCCTGGGCAGGATCAGTATTCCACTGGTAATACAATACATAAATTGACAATTTTCAAGTATTTCTGATTCTTACTGCCTCATAGATCTTGAGAATCTCTGCATTAATCTGCTCAGGTTTTTTTTCTCATGTGGATTTACCTGTTGATTCCTCCCTTGTTTGTTGTGTTTCTTGAGGACTCACAGTTTATGCTTCTTATTTGTATAAAGTATCTTTCACACTTTGTTATGGGCCTGCTCTTGTTCTGCAGTTTCTCCCTAAAAGTAATTTGTAATTCCCATAAAACTGTTGCCACCTGTATAGGTATGCTGTGTGGTGCTTGCCAACATGACCTGTGAATCTAAATAATTTTATAACAGGGTAGGTCGTTCTTTACTATTATTGAACTACTTCAGCAGGTGAGATATAGGAGTGCTGTATTCTTCCATAGCACAATTAGTGCAGTCTGTATTGTTTCTCTTTCTTACTTAAAATTGATAAACAAACTTAGTGCCTCTAGCCCAACTTCCCTTTCAGTACCTTCACTTTTATTCCTGTAAAAGAAACATTCTTTTTTTGAGCCTATTTGAGTGCAAACTGTGTTTATAGAGAGTTTCAAAGTACTGGGATATAAAAGTATTAGAATTTCCAGCAGCTCCTCTGTGCAGGTCTTCACTTTTCTTCCATGCATCTGTTCAAAGAAGTACTGTCTTGTTTGTGTCTCTTCTGTGAAAGATTCCTTCCTAGTGATCAGGAAGAGCTTTCCTTACAGCAGAAAGATAAGGGAAGCTGGCATAAATGTGAGAGAAGAATCTTTTTTTTTTTCCTCCTTCCATTTTTTTCAAATAAGCAAGAGAAAAATGTGACGCACTTGATATACTTGATATATGAGTATGGATATTTGGTTGTAATGTTTATAACTTCCTGTTTGATTGTTGGAATGCACACAATCTTTGTTCCTAGAGCGCATCAAGTGATGCACATTCCTCTACGTTCATGGCCTGTCTAGTTCATTACTTAATATCACTTCAGATGTTACCCACATTTTCACTAATTATGTTGCTCTTTCTCCAAATTACTGATAGCTCTATTAAATCACACCAGACCTGGAAAACATCCCAATAAGATTTTTCATTTAAAAAGAACACATATCTGCATGGTAATGTCTCACGATGTAAAAATGTAAATTGGAAAATATAATCTGTTCATTATTTGCCCATTTTTACCACTTTCTCAGTGATGGTTCATACTGAAACAAAGGCCCTAAAGAAATTTACATTTATGGCATCAACGTTATTTCTTTTACTCGCCGCTTAAGACTGAGTTAACGTTTTTTTTTCTTCTTCTTTTCCAGTGTCATTGTTGCCTTTCTCTGTGGTTTTTAGAGTTGGGGGCAGATAAGCCTCTGATTTTCCTCTTCCAGCCAGTTTTATTTACAAGGAAATATATTCCTTTTTCATCAATAATTTCATTCTGCCTTTGTGCTGTTGCTTAGATTATCAAGCAGTACTGATAAGCCCAAGATGGTTGTGGTGGGCAACAGGATGGTAGAACTGCTCCTCTCCTTCATGTCCCTCTTTTTTAACTCTTTTTTTTTTTTTTTTTCTTTCCATTTCTGTGTTCTGGTACCTACTTCTAATGGAGGCTGGAGATTGAGTCAATGTGTGTCCTCTGCTCTAGTGCTCCCTGGAGCTGCTGTTACCCAGGAAGGAAGAGGAGCAGCAAAGCTCAGGAGCAGAGGGCAGCTGGCTGTCCTCAGGGCTTTCAGAGCTCTAGGCTCAGGACTCCAGCACAGGTATATTAGACAGGGAAATCTTATTTATGAGCAGGCAGCCTACTGGTGTGTGTGACACTTCAGTTGCACTCTCTTCTGCCTGGAAAGGCTCTCGTCATGGAAAAACTGACATAATTCTTTTAACTTCGGCTCTCCCTGCTCTTATGAATAGTTGGTGAATTATTTTGGAAAGCAGAGAAACTAGGCTGGTTTTCTTTACTCTGCAAACACTGATCTAGCAACCCTCATTTAGAAAGTTGCCTTTGTGCCCATGAGTGCTAGAAACTTCTTTCTTATACAAAAAAAAAAAAAATTATGAAGGCACATTTTGAGCTCCCTCTGCTTTTCTATATTCTCACTACTTAACAATGAAATAAATTAGTGCTCTGCCTATATAAAGCACCTCATTGACTTCAGTAGACCAGCACATGAGAGAAAAGGAAGTGGACATTAGTAGGAGATGCAGAGACTTGGTGGGAGACGATAAATGGCTATTGGTATATTTCCACCCTGTAAGTGGCAAACACTTTGTGCTAGTGTACTGTGTTTAAATGTTCTGGAGTATATAGCTACAGCAGCTTCAAAAACAGTTGAATTTTTAAAGTTTTGTGGGTGTTTTTTCTCCTTTTATGTTAGACTTCAGAGTAAACAAAGTTTTACACTACTATTTGCTTTTGTCTATTATATGTAGCAAAAGCCTAATGTAATTTAAAATGTGTTATGTACTTGAAGATGAATTTAACCTCACAGGTAGACAGATTGATAACAAAAGATGAGAAAGAGGTCCTGGCT